GCCGTGTCCCCCGGCCTGCCTCCCCGATTGCTCCCGGCCGCGCCTGCAGCAGCACGCGCCTTGCTCCCACCGAGGTCCCGGCGCCCGGGCCGCCACTGGCCTGCGTCGCCCCTCGGAATGAAGGTGTTCCGTAGGAAGGCGCTAGTGCTGTGCGCAGGCTATGCGCTGCTGCTTGTGCTCACCATGCTTAACCTCCTGGACTACAAGTGGCACAAGGAGCCGCTACAGCAGTGCAGTCCCGACGGGCCGCTAGGTGCTGCGGCAGGGGTGGCTGGGGACGGCTGGGGGCGCCCGAGGCCTCCTCCAGCTGTGTCGCATGGCGCACACACCCGCTTGGACCCCCGCACCCCGTACCGCTCCCCCGCTGCCCCTGTCCTAGGGGCTGCACAGGCAGCGGAGGCGGGGGCCGTGGTCCCTTCCGGCAATAGCACTCGCAGCTCCAGGGGCGGTGATATTAAACGGCAGTTGGTGTACGTGTTCACCACATGGCGCTCAGGCTCGTCCTTCTTCGGGGAGCTCTTTAACCAGAATCCCGAGGTATTCTTCCTATACGAGCCAGTGTGGCACGTGTGGCAAAAACTGTACCCGGGGGACGCCGTGTCTCTGCAAGGGGCAGCGCGGGACATGCTGAGCGCTCTCTATCGCTGTGACCTCTCAGTCTTTCAGCTGTACAGCCCTGCTGGCAGCGGGGGGCGCAACCTCACCACACTGGGCATTTTTGGCGCTGCCACCAATAAGGTCGTGTGCTCTTCGCCGCTTTGCCCTGCCTATCGCAAAGAGGTCGTGGGGCTGGTGGACGATCGTGTGTGCAAGAAGTGTCCACCCCAACGCTTGGCACTCTTCGAAGAAGAGTGCCGCAAGTACCACACGCTGGTCATCAAGGGCGTGCGTGTCTTCGATGTGGCCGTGTTGGCGCCACTACTTCGCGACCCGGCCTTGGACCTCAAGGTCATCCACCTGGTGCGTGATCCTCGTGCTGTGGCCAGCTCACGCATCCGCTCGCGCCACGGTCTCATCCGTGAGAGCCTGCAGGTGGTACGCAGCCGGGACCCGAGAGCCCATCGCATGCCATTCCTGGAGGCTGCTGGCCACAAGCTGGGTGCCAAGAAGGAGGGTGTGGGTGGCCCAGCAGACTACCATGCACTTGGGGCTATGGAGGTCATCTGCAACAGCATGGCCAAGACACTGCAGACAGCCCTGCAGCCCCCTGACTGGCTACAAGGCCACTACCTAGCGGTGCGGTACGAGGACCTGGTGGGAGACCCCGTCAAGACCCTACGGAGGGTGTACGACTTTGTGGGACTGCTGGTGAGCCCTGAAATGGAGCAATTTGCCTTGAACATGACCAGTGGTTCGGGTTCCTCCTCCAAGCCTTTTGTGGTATCTGCCCGTAATGCCACACAGGCAGCCAACGCATGGCGGACTGCCCTCACCTTTCAGCAGATCAAACAAGTGGAGGAATTTTGCTATCAGCCCATGGCTGTGCTGGGCTATCAGAGGGTGAATAGCCCGGAGGAAGTCAAAGACCTCAGCAAAACCCTGCTCCAAAAGCCCCGGCTCTGAGGGTTTCTTGGGAGGCCTGACTGGAGGTGGGAGGCACCCAAAGGAAGTCTGTTGAGGTGGGAGACAATCCACCCACAGGGGACTGTGGTGTGTTTAAACAGAAACAGTCCAGACCCAAGCTGAGGAAGCCCACATATTCTATTATAGATGTATTATATAAATAACCACACAGACATTTGCTGTCAGTGTTCCCAGTCTTGCATTTCAAGAACAATCACAATACATACATATCTCAGAAAAGGCGAGACTTGAAAGTTCTGACCAGCTGCCTTCCTGTCCTCTCCCTGCCTTTTCTCTCTTTCCCGTTCCCCGAGGTCTTACCCTCTCTCCTACCTGCCCTGCATTTTGAAGTGGGATACTGATTAAATCAAGATCCAGTAACCCAAATCTTGTTTACAAAGTTTTTGTGGTATCTGTGAACATGTAGTAGCGTAATTTGGATGTGGGGTGAGGGAATAAAAAAAGGGGAAGTGGCCCAGGAGCAGAAAGCCCCATTGGGAATAATAAACCAAGGAGGCATTCATTTAAAGTAGACTTCTCTGTAAAAGCAAAGGTTATATGTGAGTATTAATAAAGAAGATAATAAATAATACTAATTTTTATACTTGCCTCCATTACTTTGGATTTACCTGTGTTGATCTGTAGCTTCAAACAAAATCTGCTTCCCATTCCTGAACTCCCATTTCCAGTCTGTTTCCTAGAGAACAGTTAAGATGGGTGGGAGCAGCTTCTTGCTCCCTGGGAGTTGTTTTCTTACATGTAAATTGTAGTCTGTCAGGTGCCAAGGAATGGGGAAACATCATCAAATTCAAAACCAAGTCAGGAGCGCAGAAAGAATAAAGCATTCGATGTTAATTAATGAGTTAAGACTGGGGAATCCTGAAGCAGAGAATAATGTTTCAGTCCTGAGTTTAGTTCAGAAAAAAGATTTTTTAAAAAAGAAAAGTATGTAATTAAAAAGTATTTCCGATTATTAGAACACAGACCTCATATGTTAGTGTGATCATATTGTGACAATGGTAGCAACTTCTTGGGTTAGAAAAGTAAGAGAAGTATATGTATATGGCATGTCTTTCTGCTTCTGACACATTATGTGAAGGCATATGAAAAGGAAGTTTCACCTGAGAAGTGTAAGGGCACTTACAGGCTCTTCCTTGCTTTTGATCCAAATTAGTACAAAAGAGAATGTGAATTTATAATGGTTTATTTGGGATGCCCCTGGGGCATGCTGCTTTTCTTTATCATAGTTCCTAAAAGTAAAAGTGCAGAGAAACTATAACATGTGCCGACAGTATAAGGTTGCAGCTGAAAGCTTCTTTCAGATATGAAAATAAACTATGAGCTAGTTAGTGTGTTGGATTTTGAGATTTGGTGTTTTCCACGGAGGAACCCATTGCAATTTTCCTCAGTGGCGTTGCTGCTGCACTGAGCCCATTGTGTGGGAGCATTTTGCAGAATGTCATATTACAATGTTACCAAACCTAAAAAGAAATGAGACAGTGTAATTACATATTACATTAAATGGGATACAAGTTCAATATAATTATGAGATCTCTGCAGGCCAACTTGTATAGGTTAAATGCTGAGGATTTTATTTTAAGGAAAGAATATTAAAAAATATGTACATGGGAAATATTTTGACATAGGATGATTCTTAAGTATAATTTTCATTATGTGAAATCTATACTGTTAAGAATTCCAAGGTAAATAAGCACAAAGGTTTAAACAAGATGTATTTAGCAGTGGATTTTATAACGAATTCTAGAATGGCTTATTTTTAATTTACTAAAATAGTTTATAATATTGTGTTTCTTAAGCCCTATTACAGCTATAACATAGTTCATGTTTTCAATGATAGCTTCATGGTAGTGCCTATGCTGAATTATCTTCAGCATCAGAATATTTGTAATAGCTTTAATTTAAGAATACATTAAAATTAAATGAACAAAATAAATATTAATGTTGGGTGAGTATAGATGAAACAGCTTTGTGAGGAAATTAAGACAGCATAATTAAGAAGCAATTACTCAGAATAAAATAACCATTTAAAAAGAAATTTCATGTGGCATTCAGCTCTTCTCACTTAAGCACAGAAAATTCATGCTTAGTTTCTCAGTGAAGGATTTTTAAGCAGTTGAATTCATTCTTTTCTCAGTATATTGAAGCACTTTGATTGCATTATAGTGGAATTACAATGTTCTGGGACCTTGATTTAACAATATATTAAATGCTGCATAGAGCCCTTGCAGCCTGCTGAGTATTTGTGGCCTCTGCTCATAAGAAATTTTAAGCTAAACACCAACAATTCTCCCTTGCTGTGTTCAAATCAGGTTTTCAGCTGTGATTCTCTTGTAGCAGCTGTATTCTCTCCACTCCCACTCCTGGGCTCTGTAATTTGAAAAGATGAATTGTTGCTCCTGGATATTTGTACCTAGCTGCATTCTAGGAAAGTGAGACAGGTGCAGTTTCCCCTAACAACCCAGATAGCCCTATCAGTGACATTCAGCTCCCACAGGCTGGAGAAGGAGAGCCGTGTTTTTTGGCGTTAATAAGCTCTGTCAAGCCCTTGGTGCAAGCAGACCTGTGCCTCAACAAATTACAACAGAGCCTGTGGCCATTTCTGAGGCAGCAAAATGTGGAAGAGGTTCACATTTCCCATCTTGGCAATATATCTATCAGCAGGAGGAAATATTTTTCAGAGCAGGTTATCAGAGTGATTTTTATTATTTATTTATTTATTTATTTATTTATTTATTTATTTATTTAAAATTCTTTATTGTTTAAAGTATTACATATGTCTCCTTTTCCTCCCATTGACCTCTACCCGGCTGGCTGCAGCTCAAAGGATAGCATGCCTGACTTACCCCTTTGACTTTGGAATGCCTTTATCAATGAGATAGTCCTATTTATAAAATGAAGTACCCATTGGATTTAGTCAACAATATGCGTTTGGAACAAGGCAGCAGCACAGGCTGGAGCTTGAGTTTCAGGGAGCTCAGAGGCCCTCAAAGGCCTCATTCAGACTGACCCTGGGTACCTGGCAAGCAGGGACTGGGGCAAATCCTGTTTCCTTCAGTGTCTATCACAGTATGAGTGCTTGATGAATATTTATTATGTAAGTGAATGGAATATGTAATGAAGAATGTGTTACTTCTTTGGAGAGAGTGCTAGGCAGTTCACCAAAGATTGCTGAAGGAAGTGGGCCTTAGGTTCTGTTTAGATGCGGGGTGTGGGCAATAAAAACATCTTTAAGATTTCCAGAATGAGCTTGCATAGACCAATATTTCTCACTGATGAATTTGAAACAAAAATTCAGAATTTCTGAATGTGGAGAGGTAAGTTTCCAAATGAGAAATTTGATTTATACTCTTTATTTTCCCAAGAGCAACTTAAAGTTAGGGATCATATACCTGCAAAATAAAGGCTGCCCTAGTGCCTAAGGGAGGGCTAGAAAGTTGTTTATTATTGCAGAAACCATGTGGCATATATTTATTGTTTTGAGTGCTGTGAATGTGCAGTTTGAAGGACTGTGAGTGGGATTTCACCCAGGCATAGGAGTAGCTACTTTCAAGAATTTGTGCTAATGTGGATGCTGAATGAGACCATGGCTGCCTGTTTCCATGAATCCCTGCCCAGCCCTGGCCTATTCTGGTCAGAATTTCTGTTGTACACACTACAGTGTGGCTGGATTATGCTGTCAGTTTGAAATTAATGTGAATTTGAGTGAGGCCATAAATTAATAATCTCTGGTTCTAAGCAATGAAATAAAGATCACATTTGAAACTCAGTCTCTAAAGATGACTTTGGAAAGGCCAGGAGAGAAATAAAAAAGGCGTGTGTTCTTCATAGTCATGAATAAGGATGAGGCATACCTCACCACTCCCCAACTTTCTTCCATCTCTGTGCTCTCTGTACCTGTGCATACAATGGAGTGTCTGAATGGTCTTTAGGTTTAAAGGAGAGAATATGTTCATGCCAGCTGATGGGCATGTGTAGAGGGACACTTGATCTCTGGCCTCCAGAGAGCGAGTGGCCAATGATTCTTTCCAACTGTATAACAGTTCTGTGTCAGGACCTACTGTGAACAGGTAGAAAATGAAGTGTGTGATGAGATGTCCCCAGGTAAATGCACAGTTTACAGAGCACTTTTGTCACTCACCTTGAGGAGGGCCCTTTCAAATCTGTCGTGGCTGAGAACGTAATTTCACAATCTCCCTCCTTTCTGGGCACCCTAACTGCTACTTCAGCAGTTCAGGTAGAGCCACTTAGCCGCTTGCCTACGGGCTCTGGTACAAGTGTTTAATAATTGAAATTACAGGGCTTGACTTTTATTACATCTGATACAATTCCACACACCCTTAATGAAGCAATGCTAAGGAAATTGTTAAATGCTGAGTAACATCAAGTTTGCAGAACAGGAAATTTTATGAACCGGTGTTTGGGGATGGCACTGTTTATAAACTTGAAGGAGGCTTGAAGGGGCAGGAGCCTGTCTGTACGCTTGTCAGGATGTAACAGGTGGCCAAGGCCAAAGCTTAACTTTTGGTTGAACCAGTTGTTTGTAATCAGAGGGCAAAGTGTTTTTGGATTGCTTGAATTTTTGGCTCGTGACAGTCACCTGCCAAAGGAATAAATGTGAAATTGATCACTATAACCAAAAGCTACTCAGAACCATTCAGTAATGGTTCCAATCCCAGGTGCAGAGACAGGGCTTGATGGAAATTCAACTTGAAGCAGTTAGTCCTTAGACAGGACCAACTATGTAATTTTTTGGGCTCAGTGCAAAATGAAAATGTGGAACCCCTTAATAAAAATTATCAAACATTTTAATTCAGCAAACAGCAAGGAAGTGAGGCCCTTCTGAGTGTGAGGCCTACAAACTGCGTCCAGATGCAGATTTTGAAAAGCCTGACCACAGAGTAAATATTGAAATTACAGAGAGAATAAATAAGAGTGGCCTTATACGCTCCTGGAAAGTAGGTGTAAAGTTATGCATTATTGTGTGTAACTATAATTACAGAAATATCCTAGCAGGACAAGTGCACTTTGTATGACGGAATTCAGTGAGTGCACACAGGACGAAGTCCTTGGCGATTGCAGCAAATGATGGACAATGTCCTCTGAGTCATCAATGGGTCTTGATCCTTTTCAGATCCCAGACAGTCTATGCTTTTGTGGAATCCATCTCAGAACAGGTCAGACATCTGTGGGGATGACCTACTTGTCCTCAGTGTGTGGATGCTGGCAATGCCTGCTAATGATAATGTTCTCTCCCTTTTGGAACTACTGTGAGACTCTATTTGCATTGTGTATAATATACAGAGAAAGTCTGTATATGGAAAAGCAAAATGCAAGTCACAATAAACTGAAAGAATAAAGGTGCAAGGTGTGTGCTAAGTGGGGTCAGCTAAATTGACTTTTATTATAGATGTGATATGTTCCACTTTCCTCTGGGTAACAGTTCATCCTCTCTACACCTCTTCTGTCTCCCATTTCTTCTCTACTTTGTGAAAGGATCCTGGATCTTTTTGAAACTTTTATTTATCAGTCCTGCTCCAAGACACAGACTTTCTACTCCCTACTCCCTTTGCTGCCTCATCCATAAGTA